GTGTGGCCCGGCCGCCCAAGGCTGGCCTCCCCCCGCTGCATGCCCCCATGCCCTGACTGGCTGCAGGAGGTGCCCAGCAGAATGCCCTGGGCCGCTCGGGCTCAGGGGGTGGTGAGCTTCACCGGCACGGCCCTACCATGGTGAGCGGGTGGGGGCGGAGGCTGGGAACGGAGGCTTCTGGGATTGAGCCAACGGGGAGGGAGACCGGAGCCCTGATTGCCACTCTCCCCTCGTGTTTCAGCGTCCGCCAGCTGCCCCATGCAGCATCGCTGGCCCTCAAACGCCGCCTGGAGCAGGAGGAGCCGTGAGTAGGGCAGGCATCGCCCCCTCCTGGGGAAACCCAGCCAGGCTGCAATGCATGCTGGGGGATCCCTCGCTTGGCACCACCGACTGGCTGTTCTCAGACCCTCCCTACTTGGCGTGACTGGGGGCAGTGCATGCTGGGAGTGCCAGGCTAGGTGTGATGAGGCAGTGCATGCTGGGAGTCCCGGGGCTTGGCGTGACGGGGGGCAGTGCATGCTGGGAGCCCCGGGGCTTGACGTGACTGGGGGCAGTGCATGCTGGGAGTCCCGGGGCTTGGCGTGACTGGGGGTAGTGCATGCAGGGAGTCCCAGGGCTGGGTGTGATGGGGCAGTGCATGCTGGGAGTTCCAGGGCTTGGCGTGACTGGGGGCAGTGCATGCTGGGAGTCCCAGGGCTGGGTGTGATGGGGCAGTGCATGCTGGGAGTTCCCACGCTAGGTGTAGCTTGGTGAATTGCGTTGGGGGAAGTTCTTGGCCTCACGACTAGATTGATGTGAGCGGGTGCAAGGGATTCTGGGAGCTCTCCAGCTTGTCTGCACTGGTCCCCAGGAAGCCTGGTCCCCGCCGTGCATGCTGGGAAACCGTCTCGGTGCCACTGAGCGCCGCGGGGCCCGGGCGCCCCCTAGGCTGGTGTGCAGGAGCGCTCCTCTTCCCCCCGCCGCAGGCAGCCTGGCCCCAAGCAGTTCCTGTCGGAGGAGAAGATGGCTGCTCGCTTCAACTCCCTGAGCCTGGAGAACGACCACCTCTACAGCGCCAACGGCTTCCCCGCCCAGGGCCCGGCTGCCAGCCCCCCCTGGGAGCCCTGGCTGCAGGAGCAGAGGTACCCTTGGCCCCGCCCCGGGGCAGAGCACGAGGGGGGCATTGCTCACCAGCTGCCTCACCCCAGAGGTGGCTGCATCTCAGCACTGTGTTTCCCCAGGCTGCCCCTGGCTGCAGGAAGTGAGGACGCCAGCACGGCGGAGTCCGAGGAGAGCGGCGTGGTGCTGGAGGGGGAGTTCAGCATGGCCGACTGCACCCTGCTCAGCCTGGGGGAGCCGGGCCCCCCCAGGGACAGCCTCCTGGCCCCCCAGCTCCTGCACTGCCTGTGAGTATTGCCCCACAGCGGGGAGGGACCTCTGGGGCCAGCCTCACTAACTCCTCTGTCTGCTTCCCCCCCCAGGAACCCCTCGACGGAGCTGGTGCTGTGGGCGCCCCCAGGCAGCCGGGTGGCCTCG